GAGCCTCTCCCTGTTTGCTGGCATGGAGCTGCTCCCCTTTCCCCGCCCAGCAGGAGCCAGCCCTGGCGAGAGGGGATGTGGCTTTCCTGTTCCATGGACACCGCCCTGTACTGGGACCCGCAGGGGACCCGGGGACGCTGAGGGCAGCCAGGAAACTTCTGCATTCTCCTTCCTCAACATGTAGCAGCTGGGCCTGCTGAGCAACTGGGGCCTCCCTCGCTGTGTCTTGCTCCCAGGCCACTGCTGCGGGGGCACCGGGCTGCCCTTCCGACTGGCACTGCGGGGCACCGGGTGACTCAGCCCACAGCAAGCCTTCCCCCTCCTTGTGGGCGCTGCACAGGCCCCGTCCTGCTGGGGAGTAACTGGCTGGGGCTCAGCAAGGGAAGGGAGGGCCTGCTGAGCAACTGGGGCCTCCCTCGCTGTGTCTTGCTCCCAGGCCACTGCTGCGGGGGCACCGGGCTGCCCTTCCGACTGGCACTGCGGGGCACCGGGTGACTCAGCCCACAGCAAGCCTTCCCCCTCCTTGTGGGCGCTGCACAGGCCCCGTCCTGCTGGGGAGTAACTGGCTGGGGCTCAGCAAGGGAAGGGAGTCCCCGCAGCCGTTTCCAGGCTGCCCAGGGGAGGTGAGAATCCCCTTGACTGTGCCCCCCCGTTAAGGTTGTGCCACAGGTTTCAGGCTAATCATTTCTCCTTGGCTGCTCAGGCCCTCTCAGTGGCCACCTGTAGCACGGCCCAGACTAGGCCCAGAGGCATGCTGGGAAGGGGCTGGACTCAACCTCTCGGGCGCTGCCTTGGCCTGCGTGTATGAACGAGCTGATTGCTAGAGCAGTCACTTAACCTCAGGGGCTGAGGAGTCCCTTGAAAGGCCCTGGGCTGCCCTACAATAGCAATGCAGCGTAGCCCCACGCAGGGCAGTGACTACAGCAGCCTCCGGCCCCTTGCTCGTGGGGGGGGAGGCACTGAGCAGGCCAGTCTGGCAAAGTCCTTTTCGAGGAAGGTGACTCTTCTGGCTCAGCCGTGGCAGGAACTTCAATACTCGTTACAGTTGACTGGGTAAACGGTAGCATTCTGATTGGTTAACCGGGGCCGGCCAGCCCACCAAGGGCAGGGGGGCTCCTCCAACCCAGCCCTCCGTGGGCAGAGGGCTCATCCAGATGAGGGGGCAGGCTGCTCTGACCGGATCCTACCGTATCATGCTGCTCGGCTTTACCGGGCAAGCGTGGCTAATGCTTAACCGATTAACTGGTTACCTTCCACATCCCTAATCAGTGGCTCCTACACGCCCTGCAGGCCCTGGGCTGAGCTGCTGTGGGAGTCTGGCTGAGCTGGTTTGGTTTCCTGACATGGTGCGTCTGTTTGTCTGTCTGTCTCTCGCACACGCACACACAAAAATACCTCTGGGGCATGTGGGGCAGCAGCCCCAGTCTCACCTGCAGCCTGCTCTCTTCCCAAGCCGCACTGGGGAAAGGGAAGTCCTCTTACAGGCCCAGGCAGCCTTGGGCAGGAGCTGGACACGTTATGCAGGGATTGCACGTCACACTGGTGAGCTTGCTGTGAGTCGGTTGTGTACATGTCTGTGTATCGTCCTTGGGTTCGGGCCAACCAGACCCGACCATCTGTGGGGGGGATCCACTACAGGCAAATCCCTGGGGAAAATTCCTTTCTAGCTGTGTCTGATCTGCCCCCCGGGGCAGAAGCGTGGGTGGGCTCCTGCTGTGTGTAAAACATGCAGCATCACACTGGTGAGCTTGCTGTGAGTCGGTTGTGTACATGTCTGTGTATCGTCCTTGGGTTCGGGCCAACCAGACCCGACCATCTGTGGGGGGGATCCACTACAGGCAAATCCCTGGGGAAAATTCCTTTCTAGCTGTGTCTGATCTGCCCCCCGGGGCAGAAGCGTGGGTGGGCTCCTGCTGTGTGTAAAACATGCAGCAGACACGGCCCGGCTCCCCTGCAGCGCGTACCGGTGCACATCCTACCTCCCCATCACAGCCACTCACCGCAGCCTCCTTCCTCCCGCAGCCAGGCTGTCCTCGGCTGGGAGCCGGGAGGCCTCCTGGAAGCCGGTCCATGTTTACAGACTGTGTGTGTGTGGCGGTGGCGGGTTGCTAACACAACACTGTTAATAAACACTACGTTGTGTATATTTAAAGTGTGACTCATTGTCGGCCTGAGCTTCCAAGGTGTGCTTGTTCACAACCTGTCTCTCAGCTACCTCTGCGTTCTGCTGCAGAGCACGCTGGGGTGGCTTTCCTGGCCCCAGTGGTGGGTGCGAAGTCAGGGCCGCGCTGAACCCCCGACCCCTGCTAAGGCCCATGAGGACTCTCTTCTCTCCCATTTCAGAGCTACGCAGTCTGCTGAGAGCATGTGTGGTTTGGAGTTTCTTGTTCTGGCACTAAGCCTCAGCTGGCTTCTAGACTCCCGGCACCAAAGAGCTGTGCTCATGTAACAAAGGCTGTTTGCTCTGGGCCCATTGGAAAGTCACATCTCCCCAGGTTCTGTCCTTTGACACAAAGCCAAACCTCCTCCGAATCGGTCTCCTCATGTTCCGTAACCTGGTGTTTTCTTTAGCAAATCTGATCCTTTGAAAAGACGCGCTAACTGCTTTTGTGTTTGCATGACGCTGAGCCCGTGAACTCAGAGCGCTGCGTGGTGCCTGGCACTGCCAGACCCAGAGGTTGCACGTCGGCGTCTTTCTCAAGAGCGTCTCCTGAATAGGAAAAGCAAAGACCACCACGTTCGGGAGGCCGCTTCCTCTTGTAACTTAAAGCAAGGGCGGGGTTTGCTTGTGCCAGGACAGTGGGATGCACTGCGCCTCTGAAAACCCTACAGAAAAGAGAATCACCAGACAGGTGAAAGGGGCTGGCTGGGGACAGCGTCCCTCTCCTGGACTGCCTCCGCCGAGACTGCCTGACCCCACCCCATTAGGGAGGGGAGGGTGAAGCTTCTGCCCACCTTGATTTGTACAGGGACATTGCTGGCTGTTCCCTGGCCTCAGGGAGTGAGGGAAAAGTGCATCCTTCACTGGGTGGATAGCACAGAAGAACCTGGACATGCACCCCTTCCCCCGGCTGTGCCTGCTGGAGCTGCAGTGGCCATGGAGAGGCACTTCCCACCTGGCCCCAAGCTGCTGCGGGGAGAGAGGGCTGGGGGTGTCCTCTCCCGGGCTGGGTGGGGCTCGTTAAGCTGCTGTGGGGCCGTGCTACCGTGCAGCGTAGGGGAACCTTGGTGGGGATGCAGGATGTAGGCCTTGGATGGAGTTTTGGTGCAGGGTGTGGGCTCAGGGCTGGAGGTTGCACTGGATATAGGCTCTGGGAGGGAGTTTTCGTGGGGGAAGGGGGTGCAGGGATGTGGGCTCTGGGTTGAGGAGTTGGTCATGTGCTCCAGCCCCCTAATCATTTTGGTCGCCCTCTGCTGGACCTTCTCCAATGCGTCCACATCCTTTCTGTAGTGGGGGGCCCAGAACTGTACAGACACAATACTCCAGATGTGGCCTCCCTAGTGCCGAATAAAGGGGAATAATCACTTCTCTGGATCTGCTGGCAATGCTCCTCCTAATGCAGCCTAATATGCCGTTAGCCTTCTTGGCTACAAGGACGCCCTGTTGACTCACATCCAGCTTCTCATCCACTGGAATCCCCAGGTCCTTTTCTGCAGAACTGCTGCTTAGCCCGTCGGTCCCCAGCCTGTACCAATGCCTGGGATTCTTCCGTCCCAAGGGCAGGACTCTGCACTTGTCCTTGTTGCACCTCATCGGATCTGCTGGCAATGCTCCTCCTAATGCAGCCTAATATGCCGTTAGCCTTCTTGGCTACAAGGACGCCCTGTTGACTCACATCCAGCTTCTCATCCACTGGAATCCCCAGGTCCTTTTCTGCAGAACTACTACTTAGCCAGTCGGTCCCCAGCCTGTAACAACGCTTGGGATTCTTCCCTCCCGAGGGCAGGACTCTGCATTTGTTCTTGTTGAATCTCATCCGATTTCTTTTGGCCCAATCCTCTAATTTGTCTAGGTCACTCTGGACCCTATCCCTGCCCTCCAGTGTATCTACCTCTCCCCCTAGCTTAGTGTCATCCTTAAATTTGCTGAGGGTGCAATCCATCCCCTCAGCCAGGTCATTAATAAAGGTGTTGAACAAAACCGGTCCTAGCACTGCAATCCGTGGGGCACTCCCCTTGAAACTGACCGCCAACCTGACATCTAGCCGTAGATCACTACCCGATGGGCCCGACGGTCTGGCCAGCTTTCTATCCACCTCACCGTCCATTTCTCCAATCCATATTCCCTTAACTTGTTGGCAAGAATATTGTGGGAGACAGGATTAAAAGCTTTGCTAAAGTCAAGGTCTATCACATCCACCGACTTCCCCATGTCCACAGAGCCAGTTACCTCATCATAGAAGCTCATCAGATTGGTCAGGCATGACTTGCCCTTGGTGAATCCATGTTGATTATTCCTCATCACATTCTCCTCTTCCAAGTGCTTCAAAATGGATTCCTTGAGGATCCCCTCCATGATTTTTTTGGGGACTGAGGGAAGGCTGACTGGTCTGTAGTTCCCTGGACTGTCCCTCTTCCCGTTCTTAAAGTTGGGCACTGCATTTGCCTTTTTCCAATCATCTAGGATCTCTCCCGATCTCCATGAGATTTCAAAGATAATGGCCAAAGGCTCTGCAATGACATTTGCCAACTCCCTCACTACCCTCAGATGCATTAAATCCGGCCGGACCCATGGATTTGTGTAGGTTTAGCTTTTCTAAATAGTTCCTAACCTGTTCTCTCTCCACCGAGGGCTGCCCATACTGCGTTGCCTAGTGCAGTAGTCTGGGAGCTGACCATGTCTGTGAAGACAGAAGCAAAGAAAGCATTGAGTACTTCAGCTTTTCCCACATCATCTGTCACTAGGTTACCTCCCTCGTCCAGTAAGGGTCCCCTCTCCCCCGCACCCTCTCTGATCACCAACATGCCTGTAGAAACCTTTCTTGTTGCCCTTCACATCCCTTGCCAGCTGCAATTCCAGTTGCGCTTTCGCCTTCCTGAGAACTCCCCTGCATTCTCAAGCAATATATTTATACTCCTCCATAGTCACCTGTCCAAGTTTCCACTTCTTATAAGCTTCCTTTTTGTACTTACCTCACTGCTGTCCCTCCTCACCCCTACCTCCCCTTGTCCCCCTTCCCTGCCTTTCCTCACCCTGCCCCATCCCTCCTCACTGCACCCCCTGCCTTCTCCATACCCCACCCTGTCCCTCCCCATCTCCACCTCCCTTCACCCCACTAGTAGCAACCTCTGCCTCTCTGAGCCAAATATGGCTCTTGTTGTGTCATTCCCAAAATACACTTTAACTCTGGCACACAGCAAGCTGGGGCTCTGCTGGCCCCACCC